GAAACTATACAAAGAAATTTTGACTTCACCTGGCGCTCTTCGACTTTGGAATATTTAGGAATACAGCTAAACAGAGACTACAGCTCTCTTTATAAAAATAACTACCCGCTCGTTTTCAAAACCCTGATAGAGCTAATGTCCAGTTGGTCCCGCCATAACCTATCATGGATAGGGAGAATTAACTCGGTCAAGATGACGATTCTCCCAAAGCTATTGTACCTATTCCGGACTCTACCGGTGGCAATTCCTGGGAAAATCTTACACGCATTCCAGAAAAAGGTACTCAAATTTACCTGGGGAGCCACCAGGCCCAGAGTCTCGAGACACACCATGTGCACACACAAGAAGCAGGGAGGGTTGGGGCTTCCGAATTTCCTCAAATATTTCCAAGCAGCCCAGATAGCACCCATTACCAATTTATTCTCCGATTCACTGGGACCACTATGGGTGGACGTGGAAAGAGTGTATAGTGCTCCGACGACAGTAGAAGCTCTTCCATGGCTCCCCCCGCACGCGCGGCCAAAAACTCTGACTCCTGTGCTGGCTCACACTCTCCGAGTATGGGATCACACCAAACATCAGGGACAATTTATATCCCCTTATCTCCCACTAATGCCCATAATAGGTAACCCGCTCTTTACTCCAGGGATACAGTCGCCTGGAATATTCTCCTGGTGGAAGTCCAAAAATATAACATATTTACACGACCTCATACAAAACGAGCGGATACGCACCTGGGACTCGATAAAGGCGGACTCCCACACACCCCCTTCGGAATTCTTCCGATATCTACAAATCAGACACTGGGCGGAGTCTGTGCTTGCCGGCAGGGTGCCCACCACCCGACTCTCCTTGATGGAACACATATGCTACCACACCCCTTTGCAGCCCAAATTGATATCCATATTATATGCTCAGCTGAATTTAAATCAAAGCAACTCGATCCATAATTATGTTGCAGCTTGGGACAAAGATTTACGGGGAAAAATCACTGATATGGAATGGCAACAAATTTGGGCCTCGGCGGCATCATGTACCATCAACATCACCTCACTAGAAACAGCATACAAATCTATGATGCGGTGGTACATGGTGCCAGCTCGACTGGCACATTCCCACCCCCAACAGTCAGCCAAATGCTTCAGGGGTTGTGACGCGAAGGGGGATGTAATGCACATCTGGTGGACGTGTCCAATGGTACACCGTTTCTGGATCAAAACATTCAGGCTACTGAACTCAGTTCTTCACACAAATATACATAGGGACCCGAAGTTTGCCCTGTTACACCTTAAACCTCCGAAGCTCACGAGCACTCAGCAGAAACTAGCAGTATTTATATTTCTAGCCGCAAAACAAACTATAGCACAGGCATGGAGGAAACAGCAGATTCCCTTTAGTGGGGTTGGCAGAAGGGTTGATTCATTCTTTATTAATGAGAAATTATCCAGTGTCCTGGCGTACCCCCAAAATAAAATTCGGAAGGTCTGGGACCCCTGGTTGGCATATACACATCCGAATATACTGCCCACGAGCTTAACGTCAGTCTGAGTGTACACCCGAGCTTGGGGGTATTACCCCGCTACCACAGATCCCCCCACCCCCTCACACACCCACCCCTCTTTTTCTTCTGTTCTTTATTCTTTTCTCTCAATCTTGGTTGTCTAGATAAGGCATTTTGGCCTCTTCGATAAACACCTTAGGGATGCTTACTTATTTTGTTCGACCTTAAAGCTATTTATAAGCAACATGGCAACCAACTTGCAATTGCAGCAGACGAAATGACTGTATCTCATGCCTTATACCTGCAACTGTATTGTGTGAGTTTTATTTTTATGTCAAAAAATAATAAAAATTATTGAAACAAAAAAAAGCAGACATTCCTTTTCCCATGGAAGGACCACTTCAAGAGAATGTCACAAAATAGTTTTTAAAATATCTTGAAAAAATATATATATGCCTCGCCAAAAGATTGTGGACACCTGACCATCGCAATTAATAAGTTTGTTGGACAGTCCATTCAAAAACCGTGGCCATTAATATGGAGTTGGCCCAACCCCATGGCTATAACATCCTCCATTTTTCTGGGAAGGCTTCTACAAGATTTTGAAGGGTGTCTGTTGGGATTTGTGCCCATTTGTGAGGTCAGGTGCTGATGGTGGATGAGAAGACCTGGCTTACATTCAGCATTCCAATTCATCCCAAAGGTGATCAGTATGGTTGAGGTCAGTGCTTTGTGCAAGACACTCGAGTTCCTCCACAACTGGTCACACCATGTATTTATGGCTTTGTACACAGGGGACAGTCATGGTGGAACAGAAAAGAGTCTTCACCAAACCATGACCACAAGGCTGGAAGAGCACAATTGTCTAAAATGTCTAGTGTGTGTGTATGTAAGGCTTAGTGGGTTATAATCAGATATAAACATGTTTTTTCAGACAGTTAACTACAACATTATTTGAAAAGTAAAAAAAAAAAATAGAAATAATAATAATTGTTTTTTCATATATTTTATCTGTTAAACTAATTTGATTTAGAAAAAAATATAATTCTCTGTATAATTTCATGTTCCTCGTGTTTTCAGATTTGTCAAATGCAGCATTGATAGGGATGTGTTTTTTTTGTTACAATAACAGCAGCACTGACCTGTAGACCTTTCCCTGGTTCCTTGTTGTATCTCTCCACTATCTGCTCCATATCCTCTTGGAACTTCTGGTGCCCTCCAGGAGTGCAGTACAGACCTTGTCTCACGGCTTCATCAAGGCCTTTAGAATGTTTTCCAATGAGCTCCTCACAGTGTTTGAGGGACTTCATCTTATTCATCTCAGAAAATTCACTTTTTTTCTGCTCCATTTTCTCCTGTTGGTAAGTCAAGATTAATAATATGAAGGTCCAGCCCCTAAGGAGAAACTATACTTTGGAGACATGTAAGGCTTTTTAGGGTGTACTTCAGTGCCTAAAGTGGGCAAAAACAAAGCCATGCCTAATCCTTCAGGAGCATTTGTCAGGAGTCTCAAATATCCGCCAAGTGCTGCTGTTCAAACTGAACATTGTTTGACTTCATGCCTGAAGGTGGATAATAGTACCAAACAATAGCTTTGCATAGTAACTTGTATTGCTCTAACAGGTTCTGTTATTTGAAATTGTTAGGAACATGGAGGAGCTGAAAGATGGTATGTGCTATACCATCTTTCAGCTCCTCCATGTTCCTAACAATTTCAAATAACAGAACCTGTTAGAGCAATACAAGTTACTATGCAAAGCTATTGTTTGGTACTATTATCCACCTTCAGGAGTAGGGAGACTGCGTGTGTTATAATGAGGTCAGGCAGATACAAGGCCACAACTATCACACCTATGTGCCCTCTCAGCTCTGACCACCAACTCCAGAGCTGTCCTTAGACAGAGTAAGAGGTATATATACAACTTTCACTGGTAAGTCCAAATAATAAAATAATTAGGCATTAGACTAATCAGTTATTTTTAGTTTTTCAGCTTTCCAATTATGTAAATATATATAAGCCTACCATATACTGTTTCTGGAAGCTGAGCTCAGAGTCCTTGAAGGACTTTTTCATGAATATCTGAAGAGCTTCTTTCTCACACTGTGCGCTGAGCTCAGAAAACTCTTGGTCTGTCTCTGTGGGGAATCGTCCTCTCTCTTTCATCATCTTCTCATAGTGCTCAGTTGCCTCCTGGACAGCCACTTCATTCTCCATCTTAGATATACTCATCACTACATTCTCCATGCAAGTGACTTTAGACATTATAGCTTCTGTGTAGAGGGTCACCAGCTTTCTCAGCACTGGAAATGGAAAAGACATTTAATGGCCTTGAACGTAAATACGGATCCCATCACCTTCTCTGTGACCACCAATGGCTATGTGCAAACTGAATAATGTAGGCCGGGTTGTGCCAAGAAAATTGCAACTTGCTTTTCCAAAAAACTGCTAACTAAAGTCATTCAAAGCACCACTTTGCAGTTCACTTCCATGTGGCAGAGAGGCACTGTGCCCTTGCAAGCATTAAGCCTAAATGTCGAGAGAGCAAGGACCCCTCAACTGGTTTTAAGCACCACTTTGTAGTTCAATTCCATGTTGGGGAGTGGCAGGATGCCCTTCTAAACAGGAAGTATGCACTCTCTTCAGCCAATTATCATTGAGGTGCAGCTAAGCAGCCCCTACTCCACGAACTATACCCCCCTTCACAATTTCTCGCTATTGACCCCATTCATTTAATCTAAATGTCCCAAATACTCATCTAAATCTGCCGCCACATGACATGCTAGGTACTGAGTCTTCACTCTCTGGACTGTAGAGTGGGAGGTTTCCTTCTTCAGGTGCCCATTTTACTGCTGGCTGAAGTGAACAATTACTATTGGGCCTATTGGTGGGGCCCTCACAAGGTCAAGAAGACTCCAACAGTAGAGTGGTAGTGCCTAAAACAAAACTGGTCATCAGCAGGCTTTGGTCTTGGTCTTTGTTCCAAGAACAGACACAAAAGGGCCACATAATGGAATATTGAATTACAATTGGCTTAGAAAAGTGTGTGTTTTAATAATCAATGGTCGGCAATGGGATGGATGGGAAGGATGTGAAGGATGCCAATTTTAGACAGAGATGGGCTTTAATGGTATCCAGGGGGATTACAGTTTTAACTCTGAATTATGAAAGCAGAATCCCCGCCCCCTGAGATGTCATGCCCTTCTAATACAGTAGTATACTCCCTAATAGTGCTATCCCTGTGTGACTTCACTGCCCTAGTCAGAAAGTATAAAATAATGTCAAAAGGTTGGAGTAGATAAACTTACTTTTCCCTTTCACTGTGAGAATTTGATCCAAATATTTCACATCAGCATTTTTGTAAATGTATGTACAGAATTTCTCAGTCTGATCCAGGAACGTTGGATTGAGCTCTTCCTCCGACACTTCATCCATCCTCTGAAGGACATCGCTCTTCCCGGAGGGAGGTTCAAAGACAAAACATTTGCGGGTCTTGAAGTACATGCGGATGCATCCTCGGCACTGGTTCCGCTCGTTTATCCTCCTGGAGATTTTTTGCACATCCTCGGCTTTTGAAAACCAGAACAAAAATTCAAACTCTGTAATTGTAACCACTATCCATACAGTACAGAACATTTATTTATGGCAGGTATTCATATAGCACCGACAATTTACACAGCACTTTACATAGTTGCACATTCACATCAGTCCCTGTCCTCAAGGAGCTTACAATCTAAGGTCCCTATCTCACATGCATACAGAGAGGGGCAACCTAGAGAGGAGCCAATTACCTGCCAGCATGTCTTTGGAGTGTGGGAGGAACCCAGAGGAAACCAATGCAAGTACAGGGAGAGCATGCAAACTCCTTGCAGATAGTGACCAGGCCGGGATTTGAACCAGGGACCCCCCCAGTGTTGCAAGGCAGAAGTGCTAACCACTACGCCACTCTTTGTTAGCTCTGAATATTACAGCAGCATGAATGAGACATTCTATGTAGGAAGTTGTAAAATGGACAGTTTAATAACCATACAGAACATCCCTCCAGAGAAATTAAAGGTTTTCTAATTGGCAAACTGCATTGTGTTCAATCAGAGGCTCATTTTACTAAAATTTAGCAGAAACCCCAATTAAGAGAAATTGTACATTAAGTCATCCCCGCCTGTGTGCTACTTGGTGCTTTAAGTTTCCTCCACAAAATTTAGCTCCAGTCATTCTCCTACAGAACGGAAGATGCCTTTGAGCAATGGATTAAAGGAAAATTATGAGGCAAGTGATTTTCACTCAACCTTATAATCTGAGCCAACCTGTGACAATGAAACTGTCACACGTCGGCTCAGTAGATTGGGAAATGAGAGAACACATACCGGCGCTCACTCACTTCTCGATCTATCCCCGCAGAGAGCCATGTCTGACACTCAAGGCTCCCTGCAGGGATTCCCCCTCCCCCTCCCCTGTCCGATCCTCCAGCGCTGACTGGCGGAACGAACAGGGGAGTGGGCGGGTACAGCTAGCTCTGCCTCTAGATAGGCAGAGCCAGCTGTCACTCACGCAGCTGGGTGGATCCAGACAGAATTGTCAGGATCCGTTCCGGCTGCGGCGTCTCAGTATACCGCGAGCTGTAGCTCCCTATATACTGAGCTTTGGGTGACGTGAGGACGCTAGTTTGTTACCCTTAGGAGAACTATGGGGAAAAGCCCTAACTCCATAGTTCTCCTTTAAATCTGAACTCCAGGCAAACAGCTAAATGCACAGAGGAAATGCATATTTGAGAGCTGTGCATGACCGTGGCCCAGCGCCTCCCTGTTTGTCTATCCTTAACCCGCCATAGTTGCTGGGAAATCACTCACTGGTTTGCGGTGCCAGGGCATTCTCCAGGTACTCATCTTCAGTGATCTTCTTTCCATCACACTCCAGCTTCAAGACAAAATCTCTGACGGCCCAGATGAAGATGGGGAAGTGTCTGGAGAACTCATCCTCCTCGTCTTCATTGTCCTTCGATTTCACCTTGATGAAATCGGCCAGCTCACTCACAAAGCTGTCGAAGATTAAGTAAAAAAGATCAAATAAAACTTTTGGAATAAACGTTCTTGTAATTTATAAGATTAATTTCCAGTTTTGTTTCTCGGTATACTTAGCCCGTTTCAATGGCCGTGACCTCCGTTACTTGTTCACATTCTGGGCGCCTCGTAGACTTCTATGGGGTTGTCTCCTGCCATCCCCCTTTGTGTCTGGCCTAGGGACACAACCCCATATAAGTCTATGGTGCAGAGTTGGTCAGGGCAGTGATACTTGGTGTGTGGAATGTATTTCATTACTGGACCTCACAGTCGCTGAATTGAAGTAAGCATGCATCTATGGAGGGGGATGGTGGGTTTGATTGGAACAGGGGAAAGCGGCAAAAAGGATAAGTACCCTTTGTCTTATACATTTATCCTTTAGTACTGTCAGAAATCCAGAGAGCTTGTAACTTCCCTTGAACAGTGTTAGCTCAAGCAGTCCTATTAGTCCTGCATAGGTTACTTCTGTGGACTATACATATATACAATATCCTCCATAGATACAGTACAGTGATATCTCAAAAGTGTGTCCTCTGAGCACAATATCCAACATCTACATATGTATGCTTAGAGCTGTCATATCATGATTTTCCAGAAAAATCTTTATATTAGTTCATAAAGAATCCAGTTTTAAATGCATCGCTTGACATTCGTTAATCAACATGATATATAACAATACCGGAGTTTCTCAATGGCGTCCTCATCGATGGTCCCTTTGCTGTTGTAGACCAGAGCGCTGCTCAGAATGACGGACAGACAGAAAATATTCATGTCATTGCTCTTGTCTCCCTGTAAAATGATAGTGGACTTTATTTATCAGTGTATCTAAAATAAGGACTGTCTGTATAGTACCAGAGCCCCCCAACATATTCACATCTCAACCATAAGAGATGACAGCTGGAGAGGGAAAACATAAATATGGTTGGTATTCAAGCATCTGATCAACTCCACATGTACAATTCTGCTTTGGACAATCAGAAGGTTGGATCATTCTTGTGAGGTCTCTTCTGATTGAGGGGAAGTGGACTTTTGTTAGAGCCTGAGGACTTTTGGGCCACCACCATAAATTGTGGGGCTCTCTAGCTTTGCACACTTATATGTTGTATTTAATGGTTTGAAAACCTCAGATCAGCAGCAACGCCATTGTAGGGAGCAGACATGACACCACACACTCTGCATTATTCAAGCACTTTCCTAATTCTCAAGTGCAGTAACCCCATGAAACCTGTTAGAAGTTACCTTCTACTGGTATGACCTCAGAAAGATACATTAGCTCTGCACATAGGAAATAAATCAAACTCCAGCTCTTTATTGGATAAGATGGTATGTCTCAGGTATCACAGGATCATGAAAGACCACTAGTTATGACTCACCTTCTCCACATCACCCAGACCTTCTGTGTCCAACAAAACCAGCGTATGGTCCTCCTTGGTGGGATGGGGGACACACCACATCCAGATACCTTTGGTCTTTGATTGCACAGTGGCCCCTAGCTCAAAACCTGCAGTGATAAGGTAGATATAAATATATATAACATTACACCGAAAGCAAATTATTACTAAAACAATAACTTTGCTCATGTGCCATCATCTCACCTCTATTGGCTTTGGCCAACTTGTTCATCAGGTAGGACTTCCCTGTACGGTACATTCCTACTATTCCCACCACCACCACAGGCTGATCTATACTGGAAAGGATGTCTGCAGCCTCAGAATTGACCTGGAGGGTACCATCTTCATGGTTTTCAATCAGACACACAGGAGCCTTCATTCTGATAGCCATCCTTACTTGGGCCTAGAAACAATCCAGATAAGTCTCTTTGCATGGCAGAATTTTCATCACAACTCGAACCTTCTGTAGCCCAACCACCTACCACCAGATCCTTCACTTGGTTATCTACCAATACCTACCTCTTTATTGGTCTGTTCAATGGGAGAAATTTTCTTTAAACTTTTAGTACTTCCAGGTGTCATAAGCTATTCACTTAGATCCAAAAAATTGAACCTCCGAAACGGAGAACTAGTTCAGCAGCATTCTTCTCAACATCTAACAGCACTATCAAGCACAAAGAGCTCAATGATTAACTAAAGGAGTAATAAGGAAAGTGAAAGGAAGAACCTTGCTGTTTACTCTTCCAGGAAACTGACTCTGTGAAGTTCTGCAAATGCGGAGCACATCATGTATTGCAATACTTCATCAGTGAAAGATGGTGAAAAGTACTACCCCCATTCTAGACTCCAAACATTCAGGAGGACGTCAGCTCTCTAAATTGAGCCTGTGGTCTAAGAGCAGAGAGGTGAACTATATTTGACAACCTCCTGCATCTGTATATTTACCCCTTCATGCTCCACCTCCAGTTTTAGACATTAATCCATCATTCAGGCCTGGTCAGACCCATCCCTACTATTACTTCCATGGCAGGTCTCCTTTAAGGCGTTCCTATAGGTAAATCTTGATGTCAATATTTAGCAGTCCTGGTGCTGTGTGTATAAATACAGATTCTCATATGATGCAATGAAGTTGCGTATAAATAGTTCATATTGGCACAGACAAAACCTAAAAGGGGAAGTAGCAAGGAGGTCAGCAAACCACGGTAGCATCTGAGGTCACATTGATATAATGGGAAGTACTCTTGTGGGTCACCAATAGAGAAGTAACTGATGGCAATACCATCACTGGATGACTGCGGCGAGGATTTCAAGGAACAAAAACTGGAAATCAATAACCACAAAGTGCCATCCGGGGCTCAGGGGTAGCGTGATTCTAGGGGGCAGAACAATGACTTGTGTTTCATCAGCCTGTTACTTTGTAACCAGCAGCCAAAGAGTGAAATATGTCAGGGCGATTAATAAAAACTAAAGGCCTATAAATCTGTCTGTGAATTGCATTCTTCTCTCGGCCCTTTCCTGAGGAGCAGCACCGCTGTTGCTGTACATCACAGCGGTGGCGTCATCTTCCCCTTATATATGAGAAACTTCAAGTGAAATAACTGCTTTTTACAGGAAAAGAAAAAGGAAAACTATATACAAAGGAAGAGATGATTCCGGTATACTCATTTGTTTTATTTAGATCTATTACATCATATTGAAATGTCCTCAAGTTTTAATCTGATTCTGGATCTGCTGGAGGGTTGTGGGGTGAGGCTTCACACAGTCTTCAGACTTCCTTGCATAGACCGAGATTTAGGGGTCTCCCTACAAGTCATTCTACCTACAAATCTTTCTGAATGTCCATTCTGTGTGAATAAAGCCAACAAAGAACATTCTTAGACATTATGGCCACTGTGGTCATTATGGAGCTGAGGAGCATCAATAAAAAATAGATAATTTAGGGGGTTATTCACAAAGCTAGCCGAAGCTTCAGCTGATCCTTCGGCTAGCTTCGGCCACCGGAGCCCTTCGGTTCAGTAGAACCGAAGGGGTGCTGTACGGGCTATTCACTATAGCCCGTACAGCTCCCGAAGCTGGCCGAGCCGAAGGCATATGAAACCCGAAGCCATTGGGCGGCCGAAAGCCTCGCAAATGACAGCTGGGCAGAGCCAGCCGTGATCTCACGGCTGGCTCCGCCCAGTTGCAATGACAGATCAGCGTCCTCAGAGACGCTGACCTGTCATTAAACAATGACAACTGGGCGGAGCCGGCTGTGAAGTCACGGCCGGCTCCACCCAGTTGTTATTCATTGGCATTTTTAGAAGACTCTAGCTGGTCCTGGCCAAGAAGACTCTAGCTGTCACTGCTACCTCCGCCCAACTGTTTATTTCTTTTTTTAATTCTTATTGCAATAATATTTAATCTTTTTCTTTTTTTTTAAATCGATCATTTATTTACATTTGTAAACGTTTTGTTTTTCTTAAACTTTTTTTTCTCAACTTTTTTCACTGTTTTTCTATTCTGCTCGGTACCACGGAGGTACCGAGCAGAATAGCCAGTGAATCAGCCGGTGAATGCAGAGCACGTTCGGCTGACCGAAGTACAGTCCAAAGCAGGTGATCTACGGCTGAAATCAGCCGTACTGAGCAGGAGTGAATAGCCGAACGTCCTTTGGCTCACAGCACTTCGGCTCAGATATTCACTCGGCTGCCCTCGGCAGCTTTGTGCATCACCCCCCGAATGTTGTGTGTGTAATAAAATAGAAAAGTCAAATTGCCAACACCTTCTGAATGAAAAAGTAAACAAAAAGGGCAAGAGGAAGGAACCTACACAGGCCCGGTGACCTTGTGGGAAGTTGCAGGCGCCGGTGTAAGGTGCCCGGCGGCCGCACACTACAGTCCGCCGCCGTCCAATCACGACGGGGCGGCCCGAGGCTCCGCCCACCGGCTCCTTAAATAAAAATCCAAAACAAATTATTAAAAAATTAAATAAATAAAAAAAATAAGAAGAAATAATTGAATAAAAAAATAAAAAGTGATAAAAAATAAAGAAACAGTAAAAAAAAAATTCAAGTAGCCCCGCCCCAAGGCCAGATTCCACAATACGTTCCCCGCCCTGCCATCTGGTTGCCATTCTCAATTGATGGGGAGGGGGCGTATTGTGGAACCTGGCCTTGGGGCGGCAGGTGGAGTAAATCCGGCCCTGAACCTACATGAGCAACCCTAAAAGAATGTGTGTGCTGAGTGATGGTGATGATTGATGGATGGATGGGTTGGTGGATGAAGATGGATGATGGTTGATGATTGATGAAGAATAATGTTGGATGGTGACTGGTGCTTAGTTAATAGCAGATGGATGATGATTCATGATTGGTGATGATGATTGATGATTGATTGGTGTTGCTGGATAATGATTACTGATGGATGACTGGTGATTACTGATGGATGATCATTGATGGATAATGAAGAAGGGAACCTACAGGAGCAATTCTAAAGTAATGACTGGAATAAGTATTGTTTTATATTGTTAGTTTGGAGTTGCTCCTGTAGGTCCCCTTCTTAATTATTCCTCAATTATTATCTATCAATAATCTTGGATGATTGATGGATGCCAAATAATGATTAATGGATTATTGATGGATAATGGTTTGTAGCGCCCATCACCTTTTGTGAAGTGTCTACTATGCATTTAGAGAGTAGACAGCCTGGCTGAATTGGTAGCAGCCAGCACATGGTTAATCCCGGGTGTCCAACCTTGTCTGTACCCCCCTGGGCAGAGTGAGACTCTGTCACATTGTGGGACAGCCAATGGTAGACACTATAATATGTGTACAGGGCAGCAGCCAGTTACTGGGCTTCTTGCAGCCAGTGGTGCCTGCTGACAAAGTGTACATATATGGGTGGGAGCTGCCATGTGCTCTCTCTTGCCTGGACCAGCCATGGATTAAGGCTGGGTCCTGTTCAGCCTGCCCCCCAGGCTAGGCCGAGGCCTGGGGGTGGGCATTGGCTGAGTGGCTGGAAGAGAGGTTTCCTTGGAGGCTTCCAACCTGGAGAATGCCTGAGAGATGGAAGAACCAGGACCAGTGCAGGCTCTTGAAGTGCCTTGGATTTATGTGGACTTCAAAGCGGGGTCAGTGTTCTTTCATGGATTGTGGATATGTACTCCCTTAAGATAAGATCCCGTGAGTCTGGAGCTAAGGAGGCCTGTGCACCTAGACCCTATACCCTCTCTCCCTAATTAGAAGCGAATAAACTGTTCAACGAGCTTCCTGCAACTGGAGTGGACCTCAATTTATGGGCACAGGAAGAGCGCGGTTAATGCTAATGGGGCAGTTGGAAATCTATCCCTAGACTGACTAGATATAGACCTGGTACAAACAGCGGCTCCTTCGGGGGTGAGCGCTACAGGTTCATGGATGATCGATAAGAAGATTGATGACATATTACTGATGATGTTGATAGAAGAAGATATTGGATGATTAGGATGGATTACGATTGGTTGATGATGAAAAGTGTTTAACACTGCAGAATAATTAATTTTATTTACACAAGCGCCAGTTAGCTTTTTGGTATGTTGCCCCAAGATCCGCACACAGATAATTGAAGACGGAGTGTTCCTTTAAGCCTGACTACTTAGACTCTCATTGGCCATCTTCCTCAGGAAGCTCGTCCACTCTTGTTGCTGATTCTGAAAGTTGATGCACTCCTGTAACTGAAAGTTTACACTGAGCAGGACGTCTCTGAGGAAGTTCAGAAAGACGAGGTGCTTCTCCCTCTCCGCCAAATGGTCAGAAATTATGTAATTTTCGACACAGTAGATCTTCTCCATCCCCATCCGCTCAAATGTGTTCCCCATTTCAGATTTAGCTCTGCGCTTGGTGAGAATAACAAAGGGCAGAATACCTGGAGAAATGGTAAAGTAGTAGTAAGCATTTATTCACTATGCTCCTCAGCTCCATCTAATGGACACAATGTGGTATTACAAGATGACATTTGAATACACATTCCACTTACAAAGCAAATAAACAAGAGCATTCGTTTTGTGGATCCATTTGCACAGAATGAACATTCATGGCTCTGCAAATTGTTTATGAATAGACCCCTTAGTGTCAGCAATGTGTCAGTGTAACACTTCCAGGTATTTATTACCTTCACAGAGATCAAATTTTTCCACCACCACTCCCTTTCCCCAGCCATGGCTTTTATCTGCTGTTCTCGCAAGAAGGATGCCACCATCTTTGTTTAGCCATCATCCAAAGTCCCCATCTCCTTCCTGCTTTAGCCTCTCGTGACTTGCTACAAAGTTACAATGTTGCAGTTTGATGACTAGGGGAGGGGAGACTGAAGAAATGCTTCCTCCTGCCTGCAGCAGACTGATCACTGGGGGAGGTTAGACAGAGGAAATGCTTCCTCC